CTTGGCAGAGAGAACATTGCTCATTAACCTTGTCCCTTCTTTCACCCTCTCTTAGTACAAGGCTAAAGGCCCTGCAGAGGAGGAAATGGAACCAATGTTAGAAACAAACTTCCTTGCCCAAGGACTCAAGGGAAGTAGGTGGTGGATGTGGCCAGTTTCCAGATCTTTCCCTATCCAGTTAGGAAAGGGTTGATTCTGTTGGTAACATAAAAAACATGTATAGCACTCAGTAGCTCTGGTGGCCTAGTACATAGAGATTTGCCCTTCTACGAAAGGCTTTGCCTCTCTGGTGGTTTGATTCCACTGATGGCTTCATGGGACAAGGATGGGCAATTGCCTTCCATGAGATTTATAGGCTCAGAAATTCTCTGGAGGGTGGCCTATGAGTAGATTTCAATTCCAAGGCAATGTTAGAGAAAGAGGGAGAGAGAAATGCATATACCATCTACTCCCATAAAGACTCAGAGCCTTAGAAACCCAATGGAGGGTTACTATGAGTTGGTTTCTTGGGTTGGAAAATCTGTTGTCAAAGACCTTTGAAAAGTGCTAAAGAGCAACGATGTTAATCTGGAGACTAAGGTGCACCTGATCCAGGCCATTATCTTCTCAGTTGCTCGCTATACATCTGATGAATGAATAAGGGCAATGAATAAGGATGGCAGAAGAATTGATGCCTATAAACTGTGGTGCTGGAAAAGAATATTGACCATATCATGAAATGCCATGAGAACAAACTGGCTTGTCCTGGAAAGGGTGAAATCAGGTTGCTCCTTAGAGGCAAAGATTTTGAAGCTCCATCTCACGTACTTGGGTGTATTGCCAGGAGGGGCCAGTCCTTGGAGGACATCATGCTTGGAATAATAGAGTCAGTGCAGGAGAGGAAGACCCTAGATGAGATGGACACACAGTAACTGTGACAATGGGTCAAGTGTGTCAGAGATAGTGAGGTTGGCTCAGGATTAGGGCAAGGTTCAGAGCCGTTGTTCACAGTGTTGCTATGAATTATAGTTGACTCGATGGCACGTAACACACATATAAATAGGCTTGGTGGTGTAGGTTAAGTAATGGATTATGAACAGAAAGATTGGCAATTTGAACTTAGCAGCCACTCAAAGGGAGAAAGATTAGGCAGTATGTTCCTATTAGGATTTACGGTTTATAAGACCTGATGGAGGGTCACCATGGGTTGAAAACAACTCCACAGCAGTGGAGTTTGATTTGGTTTATATGGATAGAACTATAGTTAATAGTTATAGTTGATATGAAGAGCTCTGGTGGCTTAGTGGTAAGGAGTTGCATTGCCACCTCAAAGCCTCAAAGGCAGGTGGTTCTCCTCAGGAGAAAGAAGGGCAATCTCCTTCCCATGAGATTTAGCTGGAGGGTCAGCTATGAGTTCTGACTCAGAAGTGCATAACAATGTTGTTGTTGTTGATTGCCGTCAAGTGTCAAGTTGATTCAACCCTCTGAACAAAAGGCCTGAAGCCTTTCTATGGCTATCATCATTTATCAAAGTTCATAGAGTTTCCAAGGCATATTATTTAGGAAGTGGTTCACTTAATCCTCATAATACCTTAATGAGGTAACTCCATTTTACTGATGAAGAAACTGAGGTCTATAGAATTTAAATTGCTTACCAACGTTTCAAAAGTAAAGATGTCAGAGAGATCAGAACCCAAGTTCTAGTATTCATATGTTTAATCACTGTACTTTCCTGTCTTTCATCAATAACTCTCATTTTACAGATAGAAAAATAGAGGCCCAGCCAAGTAAAGGAAAAAATAGCTCAGGGAAGTAGGGAGGACACATCACTTGAGGAAACCAATACTCCTGATCCTGATCTATGATTATGCCTCAGTCCCACAGCAAATTTGAGTGACCCCTGGAATCCCAAGCTGACAGCCTTCAAGGTCACTATCTCATTGGGGTCCCACATGGGTCTAGTTGCAGAGAAAGTAAAACTGCATACAGCTCTGATTCTATTTTTCTAAAGCTAGACTGTAGGGAGTTGCATTAACTGAAAGCCAACCAGTTCACATCCACAAGCAGCTCCGTAGGAGAAAGACTGGCAATCTGTTCTCATGCAATTGATAACCTCTGAAAACCTGCTTGAGGGCCAGCTATTAATCAGTTCCAACTCAAAGCAATGAGATTTGTTTGGTGGGGTGTTTTCTGTTTGTGGGGGTCTTCATTCAGTTATTCCTAGGTAGGTAGGTCTTTTCCCTCTCTTTTCTTCCCTTCTGCTTACTAAAAGGCATGTGATCACTTAATGAATTTTTGCAGAGACATATCAGATAAGACAAAAAAACCCAAACAAACCAGAAAAATCATCCTAAGACTCTTTCCAAAATACTAGTATATTTCCAAGATTTCTTTATTTCCTTCTTAGGGTTTTTTTTTAATTTTTTAATTATTATTATTAAATTTTATTAGTTTTAATGAACATTTACAGAGATTTTGGGTTTTCATTCATTCATTGTTGCGCTGTTTTCTCTACCCTCCTCCCCAGTTCGTTCTTCTTTTTTTCCCCCCCTTGAATGTCTGTTTTAATTGTCCAGTTGCCACAGTGCTTGTCAAAGCCAGTTCTGATTAATCTCCTTTGTCAGTGTGTCCTTTGCCATTCCCTATCACTCCTCCCTGAGAGAGACTTCACCCTGATTCTTAAGGAAAAGGGGATGGTGGATTCTCTTAGCTACTTCCCTTCTTAGTTTTTTATAAGCATGCTGGTTGGGAGGCTGGAGACCTGGCTTCTAATCATAGCTTGCTGTGTGACCTTGTGCAAGTCGCTACCCTTCTCTGGGCCTCAGACTCCTTGCCTGTGAAATGAGTGGTTGGATATGGTGACCTCAGAGGAGGCCCCTTGCAGCTCTGACCTTCTGTTTCTGCTTCTGTTTCTGGGACCAGCAGAAGGCCACAAGCTGTGAGGAATTCATGGCTGACAGCTCCCAGCATCATCTCCAGGAGGAGGCAAAGGCCCCATAAACAGCCTTCTTTGCATGCACATTTCCAGGCCGATTACCTTTGAGGCCCATATGGCACCCCCTGCCAGCTGACACCGCCCACTGCCCTTTCTGAGCCAAAGAGCTGGGTGACTACTTTCCCTCCAGGCTCCAGAATGCTTGATCTGCATCTCCAGACCCACCTGGCTGAGAGAGCCAAGGTGGGGCAGGGGGTCAGCGCTGAGGATCTGCCCACGTATCACCACAGCCCTTCTGCCCTTCTGTGGGAAGAGGCAGCCTGCTGTGGTGAAAAGCTAGAGAGAAAAAAGGGGGAGGAGGGACAGGAGAAAGGAACACTTCCAACTCCGTTTGGATCCCTTGCCGGACATTTTGGACTCATAAATGAATCAGAGAAACTTGCTGCCCTTGAAGGACACAAAGCATATGGTGGGAGTAAGAAGAGAAGAAAGAGACTGTAGCAGCATATGTAATGCCAAAAGCTCATGGGAGACCACTGGAGAAATCTCTAACTCATGAGTGGGAATCTAGGGAGACTTCCTGGAAGAGGTGATGTTGAAGGTATATTTTCAAGAACAGGATTCAGTCTCTCCAACTCCTTGAAGATTGTCTTGTGGAACAGGTATAGTTGCTTCTTTTAAAAAAAGAGGCCCAGGAAAGTGAGGGATATGCTAAGGTTAACAGCTACTGAAAGGAAGAAAGTTGGATTCACAAAACATTTTACTCTGGCCTATAGGTCCAAGTTTGAGTCCTATCCAGGTCTCTATCTTGCTTCAGTGAGTACTTCACTTCCAGCTTCAGGCTGCTTATCTGTAAAATGGGTCTGTTCCTGGTTGCCTTATCCATCTTAGCCATGCAGCTGGGAGAAGAAAATAGGTGAAAAAAAGCACAATGTTTCCAAAGAGGGGGAGGCCTCCCTAAACCAGCTGAGGCTGGCACAGGCCTTTCTCCCCACAGCAGAAATCAGGTTTCTGGCTTCCGACCCTGAACAAGCAGAAGCTGACAGTTAGTTGCCCTGCTCTCTCCAGATCACCGCTGAGTCACCCCTGCAGAAGCCAGATCCTGGGTCTGGATAGGCATGCTTTTCCCTTCACATTTTTTGGCAGTTTGACAGGAAGTTAGCAGGATCCCACAGAGGCAGAATTTTAGAATCCTGATGTACCACATCTGTGCTTGAAGAAATTTTAGAATGGAAGCTCCTGGGCACTTTTAAGGGTCTCCTCTGGAACCGGGTGGGGGAGGGTCCCTTGGTCAAGGTCAAGCAGCACCTGGACCCTGCAAGGGTAGAAGGACCAATAGTGATGGGAGCCCTTTTTATTTTACAGATTAAAAAGTAAGACTCAGAAAGGGAAAGGATTTGCCTGCATCACCTAGAAAGTTCTGGTGTGGTAAAACTAAGACACAACAACTCAGCCGTACCAACTAGTGTGCCAGGTAATGCCAGGGAGCGGCATGAGTGCTGTGTGGGTAAGAAGCCTAGTCGGTGTCCCTTTACGCATCTGTTATAAAATACATAAACTTTATGTACTGTCCCCAGCAAAGTTCCATAACCTCTACCGTCTCCTCTAAGCTTCTACCCTGTCTCTTTCCAATTGCCTCTGGACAGGATCCTTCCCTTCAGAAAATGATCCCCAGGAGTCTTTCAGCTGGGCTGTCTAGGAAATCCTGAGATTGGACTTTTCGAAGGTACAGTCCCACAGTGGGGACAGCGGCTCTCGAGCCCACCAGGACCTATGGGGTGTGGAAAAGGGGGTTAGACAGGGACAGGCAGGAGAAGTTGTCGTCCTTCGCTCACTATTGCAGCAGCGCTGGCCGCCCGCTCCGCTCCCGGCCAGGTGTCCGCGCGCGCCCGCCGGGCACCAGGGCAGGGCGGGACGAGGTAGGACTGAGGGGCGGAGCCTGGCCAGCCTTGGCCCCGCCCCTCGGACGACGCCGGCGAGCGTCGAAGTGAGCGTCCCCGTCGGAGAGCGCCGGGTGCGCGCGCCTGGCCCCGGCTGAAAGTTTTTCCTGACGGAGTTTTGGCGGTGGCGGCAGCTGGAGTTGGCCATGGACGCGCTCAAGTCCGCGGGACGGGCGCTGATCCGGAGCCCCAGCCTCGCCAAGCAGAGCTGGGGGGGCGGCGGCCGGCACCGGAGTGAGTGTTTGCGCGTCACCCAGGGCCAGCCCGGGGTCGGGCCGAGTGGACGGGCCTCCCGCGGCGCCTGGACTTGGGCGAAGTTGGGGAGGGGAGGGGCCTTGTCCCGTGTCTGGCGGGGCGCGCGGCCAGCTTCGACCCGCGGAACAAGGGGGTTGCTTGGGGTTGAGTTGTGCCCCACCACGTTCAGTGCAGCTGGACGGGAGGAGGAAGAAACTGGGGAACGAGGCCGGAGTTCGGGGTGTTCAAGTGCAGGCGGGAGTGGGACGGGGTTGCAGGTCAGAAGTAGAAACCTGCGCTGCGGCTCGCATTTCCTCACCTGGCTGCGGTGCACAGCCTGGGGGAGGCAGGAGCTCATCGCCGGCGCCCCGGGGAGGGGAGTAGGCGTAGGGCTTTGGGAAGATGCCAGGGTCCTTGCACCCCCGACCTCCCTTCTATGAGGTAGCTGAAGCCTATTTGTCTCCTCTCTTAGACCAATCCACAGGTCATTTCTTGGTTCCCAGGCACCCGAGACTCACCCAGGTGTAAACCTGGGATCGTGAGTACCTGTTTGTGGTTGGAGGCGAGGCCTGCCCTGGTTCTCTACTCCCCGGGCGACCTGCAGCCCCACTTTCCGTCCCCAAGCCTAGGCGATGTGGCGAAGCTGGCGTGCTGGCTAATATTGAAACCTGTTTTCTCTCGCACCTTCCCCCTCGGGCTTTCCAAGTCTCGGGGGCTTCCATGCAGACGGTAGACTTGCTGCCACCCCCCAGGGGCGCCTAGGAGCATGGGAGGGGCCTCATTCCTCCCCTTTCTCAGGTTACAACCGTCACCTGGCGCCTTCTCCCGAGACCTGAAGAGCTCAGCTCTGATCCCTGTTTTCACGAGGGAGAAATGCAGATCTAGAGAGGTGAAGTGGCTTGCTTGGGGTCACACAGATAGGGAGCCAAGAACCCAGGACTCACCTTCCTCCGCCTTGTCTCCTCCTCAGCCACATTAGCCAAGGCTTCAGGAAACTGCAAACAGTACAGCCACACACATTTCCAGTTCCTTCTTTGCTTCCCAACGTCCCCCCAGGGGAGCCCGAGCTCCCTCTCGTAGGAGTGCCAGCGTGTCTGGGCCCAGGGATCCGCCCTGCCCCTCCTCTTGCCCCACTCTGCTGTTCCAGCTGGAGCCGTCTCCTATATGAGACTGGCACTGGGAAGTTGGTCTGGTGCCTGCTGGTGGGAGTGGAGTCAGAGACCAAGGCCAGGCAGAAACCATCTTCAAAGGTCTTGGCTCCCGAAAGATCCCCTCTACATATTTGTGGGATTCCGTGGGGGGTTAGGGAGTGGTTACCCAACACTTCTGAGAAGGATAGTCTGTTCCAGCGAGGGACCCTGCAGCATTCTTGGGGAGGGAAAGAACAAGGGGAAGGAAGGCATTCCCTAAGGAGGTGACTATGGATTTAAGGGAGGCTGTGAATCCTGGACAAAGGAGAGAAATTTAGCAACACCTCAGAATCTGGGGTCAGAGGAGAAGGAGCCACCTTTGGGGGGTGGGGTGGAACATAGTTTCTCCTGTGCACTCTGATCTTGTGCATATCACTTGTCTTTTATGACCCTGTTTTCTCGTCTGTGAAATGAGGATAAAAATTCTTACCCAGCCAGGGTGTTAGAAGATTATTGGTAATAAACTCCCTCTTGGTACCTAATTGATGGTCTCCTCCCGATTTCCTTCCTCTTTCTTGTTAGTTGTGCTCTCCACTTGATTCATCCTGCAGTGGAGTAGGTTTTGAGGTCCCAGCCTCTCACCACCTGCTAAGGAGAGGAGAGGAGGGCCTCCCCCAACCTTAGCAACCTCAGAGTGCTGCTCTTCCTGAGCTTTCTGTCCCTAAATTGACCCATTGCAGATCTTCACAGGTCTCTAATTAATAAGCCCCCATTTCCTCATCTTTAAATTGCAAATAACAAGAGTACCCACCTTGCTTTTTTTGTGGGGGTTAAATTAAATAATATTTTGCTTTATATCGAGAGAGTATTCAATAAATGCCAGTTTTAATTTTTGTTAGTTTATGGTTTACAAAGTACTTTTGCTTCCATAATCTCATCTGTTCCTGTGAAGTGACAGAGCAGGATATTCAGACCCATTTTAGAGAGTGGTGCCAGTCTCCCTGGACACAGCTTCCAAGAGGGAGAGCTGTAGATCTCATCTCAGGCTGCTCTTTCTTGTGCCCCTGGACTCTGTGACCATAGGGAAAGCTGGTGGAAGGTCCCACCTTCAGGCATAGTGGTTAGTGCCACTGGACAGCAGTGTCTACAGGGTAAGGAAGGAGACTGAAGGATGTATGCAGGGTTACGGGGCAGGTGTGCCTGAGGTTGTCACCCAGACTGGATGCAGTGCCCAAGATCTGAGCTCTGTCATTTAGTGAGGACACTCAGCTGAAGCAGAGTTAAGGTTAGACCTGACCCCAGCCCTAGGTTTGTGATTGTTTTCTTACCCACAGGTCCTCAGACCATTACCATTTTTTAGTCAGTGAAGCCCAGAAAAGGGAAGCCGTTTGTCTGAGATCACACAGCAGAGTAGCTCCCTGAGCTTCCTTGCTGTGATCTTTATGCTTCTCATTGGACCCTTGGTCTTGACCTCAGAGGAGGGCTTGCTCCTTCTCTCACATATGGCTTTTTTCCTGTCTCTTCAGGAACTAAAAGTATTTCATCTCAGTCCTGGCCCAGGGATTGTCCTTTGGCTCACCCTGGCCTCTTAGAGTCTCTCCTTTCCAAAGACACTGGGATTACTCTAACTCATTCAAAGGATATGCCAACTCATCAGACAACTCAGTGAGAAGGAATGGAACAACACTGAGGTGTAGCTTCTAGTAAAGCTGCTTTATGGTGGTGAGTGGAGGAGGGGGTCTGTTTGGTTCCAGATACTTCTTGTACACTGTATATCAGGCATTGGTGTAGGCACTGGAGATGCTGTTGAGATGGCCTGTCTTCTGATAGCTCTTAGAGTATGGTGGACGTTATAGTGTTGTTAAGTGCTGTCACAAACAGTGACTCATAGTGACCTGTAAACAAAGGATCTGGACCCTTCCCTATCCTGTGCCATCCTCACCAGTCCTGACATACTGGAGCCCACCATTACAGTCTCTGTTTCGGTGCATCTCTTTGAGGATCTTCCTCTCCTTCACTAATTCTCCTCCTTACCCAGCACATTGTCCTTCTCTAAGGACTGGCCCCTCTTCACAACATGCCCACAGTATGTGAGACAGAGTTTCACTATCCTTGCTTCCAAGGAGCACCCTGGCTGCACCTTTTTCAAGACATGTTTGTTCTTCCAGCAGTTGGGTGCTGTTGAGTCCACTATGACTCATAGCAGCTCTGAAACCCAAATATGAACTTTGCCTTCTCCTGCACCTCATATCTGATACACTTGAGCCCACTGTCACAGTCACTGTGGCAAATCTCACTGATTGTCCTCCTTTCTTTTGTTCGCCCTCTGCCTTCCCTCTTGACAACATGCCCAAATGAAATGAGCCAAAATGTCACCATCTTCGCCTCTAAGGACCACCTTTGTTGTACTTCCTCTAAGATGGATTTGTTTGTACTTTTGGCAGTCCATGGGGTATCCAGCACTCTTCTCAAACACCACAAATTAAAGGCATCGATTCTTCTTTTGCCATCCTTGTTCATTGTTCTCCATTGGTGGAAAAGGCAAACAAAATGACAGTTGTGGTTATTGATAAGTAGTATAGTTGTTGTTGATTGTCATCGAGTCAAGCATGACTCATTGACCCTATGAACTGAAGGCCTGAAGCCTTTCATTGCTATCGACATTTATCAAAGTTCATAGAGTTTCCAGAGGCATGTTGTTTAGGAATTGGATGTCACTCCTGCTTCCATATAGTTTTAGGTAGTGGTAAATGTTATAAAGAAAACCAAAATGGGAAAAGGGAATGATGGGGATTGATATTTTAGATAGAGGAGTGCTTTCATTTGGGTTCTTCCATAGTTGATGATGAAAGAGTGAGTGCAAGTCCGTTGTTTGTAAAAAGTTAAGTGCTATCGAGTCAATTCTAACTCATAGCTACCTGTATGACAGAGCAATACTGACCCATTGGGTTTTCTTGGCTATAATTTATTTTTTTTTTTTGGCTATAATTTTTATGGAAATCAGTTGTCAGGTTGTTCTTCTGCAGAGCCATTGTGTAGGTTCAAGTCACTAACCTTGTAATTAGCTGAATGTTTTAACTGTTTGCATTGCCAGGATGAAACAACATCAGAAGTGAAGTGGAAAATGAGTAAAAAATGTGGACATGTGAAGCAGATTAACTGTCAGCTACTAAAAGTCTGTGCTCTTCAGGGTAGTTCCTGCCACTCAAGTGTGAGGGCTGCTAAGGATGGAGATCTTGACTCCCCAGTCTGCATCGGCTGGGCCTGAAGGGTTTCCAGTAGCCAAGGAAGGTGCTGACAGTCGAAAGTCAGGTGGTATGTGCAGCAGGGCTGTGCACAGAGGGGATAATGGGCGAGATACGGGTGGTGTCAGCTGCTGGGAGTTAGCACAGACCTCTGTGAGGAGGTAACCTTGGGACACAGCAAGCTTCCTCCCTCATTGGGCTTCGGTTTCTCTACTAATAAAACAGATTTGGGGAAGAGTCATCCTGCTACAAGGAACAGCCAGTACAGGGGACATTTAACTAGAGGCTAAGACCCTAGGTCTTTCCACAGATCTGGCTGCTGAGCGGAGGGGATGTGGCTTGAAGTCAGAGATCATCCATCACTGCATACTGGGTGGGGAGCCGAACATCCTTTTGGCAGCTCCTCAGGCAGCATGCTGTGCCCCTCCTGGGGGGATCTTGAGAGTGTCCTGCTACCTGCTTTCTTTCAAGAGGATCATGGTGGGCTGCAGGGAGGAGTGAGTGGGAAAATAAGCTCACCCACTGGCAGTTCAAGTTCCATTGCGACCAGCTGTGTAACATTGGACCAGTGGCTGAACTTTTCTCCAGTGAAATGGATATATTAATTATATCCTTGACTCTTAAT